TTGCAAAGACGGGCAGCGCCAAACTTGAAGGGCAGGTCGTCGCACAGGTGGCACACGCCCTTGTCGCTGGCAGCTGAGAGACTGGGTTTCAGGCTTAGGGTTTAGGGTTTAGGGTTTAGGTTTGTAGGGTTTAGGGTTTAGGGTTTAGGTTTTTAGGGTTTAGGGTTTAGGGTTTAGGTTTTTAGGGTTTAGGTTTTTAGGGTTTAAGTTTTAGGGTTTGGGGTTTAGGGGTTTAGGGGTTTAGGGTTTGGGGTTTAGGGGTTTAGGGTCCTTTGCCTTTCATGGAGGAGTACAAAGGGTCCTTTAAGGGAGGGACAGAGGGAGTCTAGGCTTTTGCGAAGGTTTGATAGGGTTTAGGGTTTAGGCTCGGGGCCTGAAGGCTTGGGGCGTAGGGTTTGACGGTTGTGGGTTTGGGATTCGCGACGGTTAGAGTAATTGACCCTAAGCCCCAAACCCCCCAAAGCCCGAAACCCCTTAACACCCAAATCCCTACGCCCCCAAACCCCACAACCCCCCAAGGACCTAAACCTTAAACGCTAAACACCAAAATCACCGAAAACGAAACTCGAAAAAAACTTGAAACCCTAAATCCCTAAACCCATAAACACAAAACCCACCCAAAAACCCTGAACCCCCCACAAACCCTATAAACCCTGACTCCTTAACCCCCCTAAACCCTCAAATCCATAAGCCCCCAAATCCCTACACCCCTAAACCCTAAACACCCTAATCCCTAAACACCCTAAACCTTAAACCCTTAAATCCCTAAACCCCTAATCCCTAAATCCCTAAACCCGAAAACACCCAAAACCCGAAACCCCGAAGCCCGAGGTCGTGCTGGACCTGGAAGGAGAAGGTGCTGGGGGATGGACATGACTTTTTCATCCCGCGGCCAAGGACTCCCGGAGTTTTAGGGGGCGTGTACACGGGCTTTTTGTGAGAGTCTTATCAGGGTTTTATAGGAGTTAAAGGGTTTAACTGCAAGGGTATGTAAGGCGTTTGATAAGGGCGTCATAAGAGCCTAGAGCTCGATTCTAGCCAGAGCCTCGGTGCAACCATGAAAGCCCCTATGCTATCTGATGTTTTGGTCCCGTTTAGGATCATCATCAGCCTCATCATGATCATGGTCATCATCATCATCAAGTTAGGTCACTCTAAAACTAGAGCTTTTTAAAATTAGAGCCTTCCACGTTAAAAAGACCCGATAGCTGAGATCTGAACCACTCCAATGTCAACACCCTCAACCCTCCAAGCCCTGAGAACACAAAGCTTATTCGTGGAAGCCCAGAGGCCTCAAGCAACCCTCAACCCGAATCCGCGTTCCAGGGCCTTGAGACTTGGGGGTTTCTGGAGTAGATGTGCATCATTGCTACTTGGTCTAAGCAGGGACCCTAATTTAATTTGGAGAACTACCTACATCATGATGGGTCTCCCTAAACCCTAAACCTTAAACCCCTAAACCCTACACCCTAGGCCCTAAACCCTAACATCCCCAGCGGCGTGCGAGGCCTAGAAGCCCAAAAGCTTTCCTCGCGTGGCGAGGACGACGCGGCGCCTGGCTTCCGTTTTCCGGTCAATGCCAGGCGCAGACATAGAGGCGAGCAGGGTTTACGGTGTTAGGATTTACCGTTGAGCTTTAGGTTTGTATGTTTTTAGCTGTTGTTAGGGTTTATGGTTAAGGATGTATGTTTTTGGGTTCTCGGATTTAGGGTCGAGGATGTCCGGGGCTGTGTGTTTCGAACCGAGAGCAGTTGGGCAGTTGGGGTTTGCTTTTTCGATGTGGGGGTTTTCAAAAATAGGGGACCCTAATATAGCACCCTAAATAGTAGGATCCTTATTATGAGGACCCCAAAATAAGGTACCCCTATTTTCGGGAACTCCCATGTCTAGTGCCTATTGTCCAGGGTTTGGCGTCGACGGTCCTGGGTTTGGGCGTAGGGCTGGGGTTCAAGGTTAGGGCCGAGCAGTTCTAAACCCTCAACCCTAAACCCTAAACCCTAAACCCTAAACCCTAAACCCCTAAACCCTAAACCGTTAGGTCGTGTCTCCGGTGTTCTCCCCACGCCCACACGGCGCAAGATTCCGAAACGTTTTGCGGTTTAGGGGACTTTCACTGAAGACCCCGGTTTAGGGTTTAGGGTTTAGGGTTTAGGGTACAGTTTAGGGTTCAGGGTTTCCTTGAACCCTAAAACCTGAACCCATAGCTCCCGCAGCTTCCAGCCCCCAGCCGGCAAAATGATTCGGCAGGAGGCGGTGGTCTTGGGAAACTGCAAGCGCTTCGACGTCTACCTGGTGGGCGCGGAGTTCTTCGGGCTGGTTTGGGGTTTGTGGTGCGCCATTGAAAGACCTGTGCGTCCACCCATACTTTGTTGATCTCGAAAGGACCTTGCTTAGAAGCCCTTACAAGAACAGCCTGAAGTTGCTTCAGTCCACTGCGATTCCACGAGGGCTCCTTAGAAAGGAGTCCTCATGCAAGAGACTTAATGTAAACCCCCCTCGCTGAACCCAAAACCCAAAACGCTCTATAAGGCATTCATATAATCACAAGGTCGCCAGGTTAGTCCCTGTGAGCAGACGCGGCTGTGCGATTCAGGCTGTCTACGGGCAACTTGAACATAAGAACGATCGGCCCTATGCAGTCAGAATATGGTTTTGGGGTATAGCATATGCAGGAATTGAATCCCCATAGTATCCGTATTAAAACTTTCGTAAACCTCCTATAAACCCCTTACAAACCCTTGCAAAGTTTTTGAAGGTCTTAAGTGCAAGTTGCAAGCCCTGTCAGACCCTGCTTAAAGTGAACCCCAGAAAGTTGGAACATGGATTTAGTATGACTGGTGCTGGGATTCCCTATGCTTTACCTTATGGACTCATGGACATGAGGATACTGATATTCCTAAGCCCCCAAAACCACAAACCCATCATGTTCCAACTCCCTACACCCTAAACCCTAAACCGGCTCCTCCCCTAGACCCTAAACCCTAAACCCTAAACCCTAAACCCTAAACCGGCTCCTCCTCTGAAAGCTCGGGAGGCCTTGGAAAAACCGAAGCACACGGACTTGGTCTGCCAGCGCGTGGCGGACATGACTGCCCAGCAGATGGCTGCTCGGCAGAAGACTTCACGGAGGAGGACCAAGTTTCGTAGAGGCGTAGAGCTTCGGCATTTTTAGGGTGCTCAGGACTTGGGGCTTCAGGGGTTTTAGGGTTTAGGGTCTTAGACGAGCGCGAAAGGGTTCCAGATGTTTCTTCTTTTATACATCTGTTTTTTTTTCGATGCGGTTGGGTCGACAACCGTGACTGACGATGGTTGTGTGGTGGCGGTGATATTGATGTTGATGGTCAAGTTTCTGATGAAGGCCATGACGGTGGTTGAAAGTCTGCACAATGTAGTAGCAGTAGTCTGAGACGTAGCCACGCAGTTTGTTCTCGCATTTTCTTTTGTTGTCCTTCTAGTCGTCCGTCGCTGTTTTCGTCGTTGCATGCTCGTCGTCGTCACTCTCCGAGCCAACAGCCAGAGCAACTTGTTAATCCCAAGCCCTTGAACCCGAACCCCCTGAGCCCGAGCCCGGAGCCCGATAAATCCTTTAAGAGCCACTGCAAATCAAGAATCCCCTCCCCTCATTTCCACGCCCAAAGTCCCAAAGACCCAAAGCTCAAACTTTCCTATACCCGATTAGAAGCCCCTCTTAAACTACCCCCCTAAACCCCAAACCCTAAACCCTAAACCGTAAACCCTAAACCCTAAATCCTAAACCCTAAACTCACCACTCCTGACCAAACCCCGAACCTGAGGCCAGCTACCGCCAACAGCAGGGCGGCTGGCTGGAGGGGGCGAAGACCTGGCTCTTGCAGGAGCAGAGAGTCTGTTGCGTTTGGGGCTGAGGGTTTAGGGTTTAGGGTTTAGGGGTTTAGGGTTTAGGGGTTGTTGAGGGTCTCGGGTTTGGGGTTTGAGGTTTCAAGGGCTGAGAGCTGGGGGTTAAGGGATGAGTCCTGAAAGGATCATGGCGCAGTATGGTTTTCAGTGCCTTAATTGAAGGCTATTCTTTCATCCTCTTTCATCATACGTGTAACTAATTGAATCATAGTCCTACTGGCTACGCCCCCCGATGCTTTATGACCCGGGGCCCTAAGTCTATCGTGACACGCGGAAGGTGATCAAAGGAACTCTACCCGATAGCTTTTAGCAGTATGGCAGGAAGCTATGTAGCTTATGCATGAAACAACGCTGCTGTGAGAGAAGCCTGGTATGAGATAAGTTACTCCTTACTTCTAATCCGGATTTGAACAACCCGGCACTCCAAAACGGGAGGGGTTCTTCGGTTTTTTAGAAGCGTTTCATGAGGGTTCCTCAGGGGACTCTAAAGGCATGTAATGAAGGTTCTTGTAAGGCGCTTCATAGGGTGTTCCACATTTTTCTTATACTTAAGTGTTCCTTGTGGGGGTCCGTGTATTGGGGATTCCATCCTTCAAACCCTAAAGCTGAACCCCTAAACCCCTAAACCCTAAACCCCTAAACCCTAAGCCCCTTAACATTAAAACCCTAAACCCCTAAACCCTAACCCTGAACCCTATTATTTACGTAAGCCCCTTAACATTAAAACCCTAAACCCCTAAACCCTAAACCCTGAACCCTATTATTTACGCTGGTGTCGTCTCAGATTCTCCTGGAGGCCTCCAACGGCTTCGATGTGCCCGACTTGGTGTCCCCCCCAGAGCACTTGGGCGACCGTGCGGAGACTGAAGGACCGGCCGGAGAATCGAAGAGCCGCCAAGGCCCTAAACCCCAAGCCCAAAAACACGGGTTTTGGGTTCAGGGTTCAATAAAACGCTAGAACTACAAAAAAGCCCTAGACCCCAAACCCACACCCCAGACTCTAAACCCTAAAACCCCATAAAACCTTTATGGATCTCCAAAGCCCTGATCCGGCTAAGGGTTTAGGGTTTAGGGCTTCTTAGGGTTTAGGGTTTAGGGTTTAGGGCTATATGAGGGTTTAGGGCTTCTCAGGGTTTAGGGTTAAGGGTTTAGGGCTTCTTAGGGTTTAGGGTTAAGGGTTTTTAGGGTTTAGGGCTTCTTAGGGTTTAGGGTTTAGGGTTCTCTTGTCTGTTGAAGAAATCCCTGGTTTTCAATCACCAAAAGCAGAGTCAGCATCACCAATAAGAATCAGGCCCTTCGTTGCTGGAGTCGTCATTGGTGTGATCCCGATTGTATTCCTTATTAAGGGGCCACCCCCTGAACCCTAAGCCCTGAACCCTAAACCCTAAACCCCTAAACCCTAAACCCTAAACCCTAAACCCTAAATCCTAAACCCTAAACCCTAAATAGAACCTAAACCCTAAAGGCATCCGCAGAGATGCATTGGCCCTCCAGAAGGCCTTTGAGGCGGGATCAGCCTCACTCTTCGCCCGGAGGGTTTTTTCCTAATTTTTTTTAGGGATGAGGATTGAGGTTCAGGGTTTCTAGGGGTTTAGGGTCATTCTGGGGGCCCTAGAAGAAACTTGGTGAAAACAGGGCTTATCAATCTTGAAAGATCGTAATATAAAGACTAAAGGAAGCGTAAAGCAGCAAAGACTCTGTGGCAACCGAACGAAGCGCCAAAGAGCTCTTATAAGCCGTGAACGAATCGCAAGAGAGCTCCCATAAAGCCACAGAGAACCACAAGAGACTTGACATAAACCCTTACAGAACCCTACTCACATGTAGGGGTTGGGATTGTGGGGTGTAGGGTTCGTGCGTAGGTTTAGTCGTCTTTTGTTTTTGAGCTTACTCCTGTTATCGCGGTCAGCACATTGTATTAAGGCTTCAGGGGTTCAGGGTTTGGGGGAGGGCTGCAGCGGTTCAGGGTTGTAAGCCTCGGGTTTGAGATAGGGTTTAGGGTTTGGGGTTCAGAGGATGTGCCACTGACGAATCCGCACCCGAACCACCTAACCAAAGCCTAGACCCTAAACCCTAAACCCTAAACCCTCAACCCTAAACCCTAAACCCTAAAGCCTAAACCCTAAACCCTACTCACGAAGTCCCTTGAGCCCTCAAGCAGATCCCAAGCCGCCCCATGAAGCCTGGACCCTGAGCCTTGAACCCCAAAACCCCAAACCCAAAACCCGTAAACCCCTAAACCCTAAACCCTAAACCCCTAAACCCTAAACCCTAAACCCTAAACCCCAAACCCCAAACCCCAAACCCTAAACCCTAAACTCCAAGCCCTGTGCCTTGAAGCTTAACAAGAAGGCTCATGCCTGAAGCCTAAGCTCTGAAGCACTGAACTCAAGCCACTCCCAAAGAGCACTCACAGAACCCTAAAGAGCTTCAACGAACGCTAAAGATGCCTACAGAGCCCCCCTCAAGAGCCCTAAGGAGCCCTAAAGAGCCCTAAAGAGCCCTAGAGAGCCTTAAGGAGTCTTACAGCCCGAAGCCCAAAAGAAGACAGATTAAGACAGGTCCGCTCCGGCTGCTGCGGGGTGACGGCATACTGTGCCGCAGTGGCTGCCGGCTTGGAGGGGCGACCCAAGGAGACTCCTGGGGGCGAACGGTTTAGGGTTTCGGGTTTTTAGGGTTGAGGGTTTTAGGGTTTGAGGTTCATTGGGGTTCGTGGTTCAAGGTTCAGGGTTTCGGGTTCAGGGTTTTGGGTTTGGGAGGGGTTTTGGTGTTCAGGTGGGCCTCTATGGCGGCTTCTTGTGAGGCTGTACATGCAGGGGCTCTTTCTCTGGAGAGTAGATCTTTCAAGTCAGGGATTTCAGGCCTTTACGGAACTCTTTTTTTGGGGATTTTCGTTGTGGAGTTTGAGGTTAAGGGTTTGCGGCGGTAAGATTCACGGGGCTCTGACTTCAGTTCTTGTATGATGAGCTTCGGCAGGGCGCTTTTCGGCCTCTTTTTGTAGGAACTCCGAGGCTTCCCCGACTTCAGGAATTACGGCTTCGAGGACTATGACGGCAAATAGGGCTTGGGGTTTTGTGAATCGGCAAAGAGCGGATCCGGCATGCGCATGAAGCCGGCAAGAGCACCTCGTACTTCTGCATGTGTCTTCTGGCTTAGAGACTTAGAGCTCCCTGATGAAGGTTGGGGGGTTTAGGGTTTAGGGTTTAGGGTTTAGGGTTTAGGGTCATGGCTTCGGAACCCCTAAACCCTAAGCTTTAAATTAAGGAAGTAAGGCTTCGGGCTCCAGATTTGTTGCCAAACCGAAGCCTAGCGCAAGAAGCCATCGACAGCTTCGTAGTATGGCGTCCCTACAAGCTGGAGGGACCACTCATGTCTCTGTCCCTGCGACGTTGGCGTACGGAGTGCCCGGTATTGGTTTCGGAGCTTTCGTGGTGATGATAAGCTTGTACCTTCCAGCACTGTATGCAGACAATCTTGGGGTGCCTTTGAGCCAGATTGGAGCCGTGACCACTGTGGTACAGATCTTCGATGCCATCTCCGATCCGCTCTTGGGCTACCTCTCCGACCGGTGCCGAACTCCCTCGGGTCGGCGCCGGCCCTTTCTGCTCCTAGGCAGCTCTGGGCTCGCGGCCTCCTTCGTGGCGCTCTTCTCCCCACCGGACTTTGGGAGCCCGAACTCGGCCCTGGCCTTTGCAGCTGCCTTCGGCCTGGTGACGCAGATGTTCTTGACAGTGGCTCGTATACCGTGGATGGCATGGGCCATCGACCTGACACCCGAGTATGATGCGAAGACGAAGCTGGTCTCAGTCCGGGAGTTCATGTGGGTGCTCGGTGCTATGCTGGGCGCGGTGCTACCAAGCGTCGCGGGAGCTCTCCTTGGCGATTCCGGACCCCTTCGGCTGACCCTGGCTGCTTCCTTCTGGGCCTTCTTCATGGTCGTAAGTGGTGTGCTGTGTTTCTGCCTGGTGCCCGATACGACCGCGGCATCGGCTCCAGGTGGGATTCGAGATGGCTCCGCCAGCTCGCAGATGTACTTCCTTCGCAACATCTCTGGTTGCCGCCCGGCCATTGCCCTCTACATCGCGACGGTTTTGGCGCTCATGGCCACTACAGGCAACGCATTGCTTTATCCCTTCTTCGTGAAGTACGTTCTCGAAGATCAAGGAGGGGCTGGGTCACCTGACGGTCCTTCTCAGGGTTCCCAGGGTGGTGTGTTCCTTGTCCTTTGAGTCGTTTAAGGCACGAGAAACCCTAAACCCAACCCGACCCCCCCGTGCAGGTGTCGAATGGCTCTTGGGTCTTTACATCTTCCTGGGTGCACTTTTCGTGCCTTTCTGGGCCTGGGTAGCCAAGAAGTTTGACAAGAAGATGACCCTGATCTTCATCACTCTGGTCCAGTTTTCAGTGTTAGGCCTCATCTTTGCCGCGGTCGAGCGTCAGGCATTGGGGATCTATGTTGCCTGCATCATCTCAGCCGGATCGGTGATGGGAGGGAGCTCAGTTGTCCGCTTCTCTATGATGGCAGATGTGGCAGACGCGCTGCAGCTGCTGACCCGGGGGCATCGGGATGAAGCCAAGATTGTGGCTCTTTTCGATATTTCCTCGAAGTTGGCTGCATCGTTGCTGGTGGCATTGGGGTTTCTGGTCATCGATATCTCGGGCTTCCGGGCTGATGTGGTGCCACAGGCGGAAGCTGCACGCTTAGCCATCCGGATCTTCTACTCCTTGGTGCCGAGCATCCTGGCGCTTCTCTCTGCGATCGTGATATGGGCGCTGTACCCTCTCGACCGCAAGAAGCATGCTGAGATTCTGGCGGAGCTGAGCCTGTTGAACAAAGCAGAGCCGGCCTTAAATGCAAAGGTCTTGGGTGCCCAAGAGGGAGCAGGCTGAGGGTCAACCGTCCGATGCCGCTCCGGAAATCTAGCTTCTTCGGCAAGGTCGGCGGTTTAAGGTTTCGGGGTTTGCGGTTTTACAGTGTCATCAGGTCTGGTTAGGGGCCTTGCCAAGAATTTTCCGTGGCTTGCCACGCGAGCGGACGTTTACGTAATATAGGGGCCCTGAACAATCATAGATGTTTTTATTATGCTTCAGGGTTCAGATACTTCTACGATAACTTACTTGGGTCCTTATTGGATACAAGTCTACATTTTTCGTTGTAATCAAACCCAATAAGGGTTAGACATGACCATTTTAAATCTAGCCCCAACAGGGAACCAGTTACCCTGAACAAGAAAACCGAAATCTAGTCATTAGGGCCCCCTTTTTTCGTACACTTGCTCCCTGAGCTGCCAAAGGCACGTCAAGGGCAGGAGCACCCTACGTGAATATCACCTTCACTCCAGCGTTGCGAGCAGCAAAAATGGCACCGGTACTACTGGCACGAAGCAAGGACCATGTAACTATCTCCTGTGACCTGCTGCAAGAGAAGCAGAGATTCATGAAAGGCCTCCCTAACCCGAAACCCGAAACCCGAAACCCGAAACCTTAAACCCTAACCCCTGCCTGCTGCTAGAACCGCTGAGCCTCGCCAGCTCTGATGCTCGGGTGTCTCCCAGGTCAAACCTGGTTGCACGAACTTCTGTGGGTGTTTATCTAGAGTTTAGGGTTTATGGTTTAGGGTTTAGGGTTTCGGGTTCAGGGTTTAGGGTTTAGGATTATCTAGAGTTTGGGGTTTAGTTGGGGCCCTGCGGGCAGGGTTTGGGGGCGATAGGGCTTCGATTTTGGTGGTTCAGGGTTTCGGCTTGGATTTCGACTGGAAGTCGCGACAAGGAGGCGTTCAACCCTTGCTCCGCGCGGGACGCCCACATCATGCTGCAGCTGAAGCGCACGCTCGAGGCATTCGATTCCATGCCGGGCTCAAGTATAGAAGCTCGGTTCTTGAGATGTAGTTAAGGTGAGGTCAGTTGTTTAAGCCTTAAGGTTGCTGCGGGACCAGCAGTTCAATTGTGAGCATGCTTGAGCTCCCAGCATCTTTGAGGTTAGTCTGTGGACCTAAAGAGCTCCCCCCGTCGCACAAAGCATTCGCATCTTCGCAGTCGCAGCAGCCTCCCAAGAGTCGTTAGGTCCTTCGACGGGCCGTTTCTGGCCGTCTACCTAAAACCCAAGGCCCTCCAGCCACAGCCCTAAACCCGAAGCTCCCAAGAGGGAGTCCCGACAGTTCAGGGTTTAGGGTGTGGGGTTCAGGGCTTAGGGCCTAGGGTTTGACGACTGTTTGGGGCTATCTTCAACTATCAATGCAATAAGGAACCCCTAAGGGACAAATTTGGCAAATGTTCCGGCTTCCATATTACATCATACAAAATCCAAACCACATTAAATCCAAGCCCACCGAGACGTCACAACAAACACTACACAGCACAACCTAAATCCTGACGCAAGGACTCTGAACCCCAAACCACGACTCCCTCCACCCTCGCCAGACACCCGGCCGCAAACATCTCCATGAGTTTGTCAAGCGAAGACTAGTTTGGGGGTTTAGGGACTGGTTCCAAGAGTCCATGGCCCCTCGGATGTCAGCTGCAGGCTTACCGGTTCATTCTTCCAGACCCTTTTGACACATCTTCGGTAGGATTCAAGGTCCCTTCCTCAAACGGGGGATGGTTTAGGGTTTAGGGTTTAGGATTTAGGGTTAGGGTTTAGGGTTAGGGTTTAGGGTTTAGGGTTTAGGGTTTATGCCAGGGTCTCTGCACCCATCCTCTAGGTCTCAGAGCTGCAGGGTTTAGGGTTTGGGTGTCCTCCAAGCCAAGTGCCCCAATCCGAGATCCTGAACCCCTGGATCTCTAAAGTCTTAAGGCTCTATTCCCCGGAAAGCCCGAGCTCCCACGAACCTCCACACTCAAAACCCCCCAAAAATCCTATACCCCAAACCCTAAACCGTGAA